GCCTGCTGCATTTTTTCACTTCAGTTTTTGGAGTATCTTTGAATTCAGTCCTCTGTAGGTTAAATTTTCATTTCCATCAAATGATGGGGCATACTTAAGTTCCTAACACATTACCCAGTCCATATCAGTATAGATATCCAGCATGATATTTTTTCCCATTGAGATCTGATGTGTTTTCAAAGTGTTCCTTAATTTTTTTGAGAAGTGTATAAACCAAAGGTGAAAGACTTCCTATGTCCCTAAATGGGTGAGAAAGAAAAAAAAAAAAAAATGACAGGCAATGCATGCTTCATAAGCCTCAGTCCAACCATGTAGAAATGGCCTGCAACTATTAAAAGTGGGGTCTTCATTTTGGTTAGAGAAGGAAAAGGTTTAAACCTCCTATAAGTTTTTATTTCAATCTGTGTCCCTAACCATGTGAAGATCAGAAAGGGAAATCTAAAATTTTAGAATGATCACCAAAACCAAAGCAGAGGTGAAATCTCTCAGCAGCGACACCTATATTGGTGACATATACTGCCTCCAGTTGTATTGCTGGAACAGGATGTGAGAAGAAATCTTGAATGCAGAGACCACAACAACAATCTGAAGGTTATAACCCCTTCTCACCCTAATAACTAGGAAAAAAAAATCAGTTTTTGCCTGGGGTTTCACTTTGATAAACCCACAGCTTTGGCCAAACTTCTCTGAAAGCCCTGTCCATCTAGTGAAATTAACTTGTGTATCTTTCCCTTAGTTTTTTTTTTTTTTTTTTTTTAATTACTGCAAATTTACTGAGCAACACAATTTGCTATTTATCCTGTTGTATAACAGAAAATGCAAACTGCTGGCTTTTTATAAGTATTAATTCACAAAGAAAACTATTCAGGTGTCTGATGACATTTTCTGTTGTTTTAGGGCCAACAATGAAAATTAAACGGCATGCCATTCTGGAAAAGTACAAAGATGTGGTAGAAACCTTTTACTCAGGATAAAACAAAATATATAGCACCACCTCCAATTTGAATTAGTCGGCCCTTTAAAGTTCAGGTCTGAAGAACAGTGTCCATGATCTGACTCAAAGTTCAACAATCATAATTAATAGTGAGCTTCCTGAAATATTATCGATAGGTGGAAATGTGTTAGAACATAACCCTTCTCCATTAAAATGTCCACATTAGTATCTAGTGTCCCCCATTATATAGACTGCAGCATATACAATCCTCCTACATTGTATTTTGCCTGACAACCATATTTAACTATAGGAGGGTACATGGTTCTGACTCAGGCATCACTATCCTTTGTAATATTTGTATAATCTTGGAGCAATCAGTGATGAAATACAATGTGCCTTACAACTATAGTCTATTTTTTTCCAAAAAAGCATTTTTTTAACTTTTAATATTTGTACCATTTAGTACTAAACATTTGTCGGTCTTAAGACTCTTTGTCCTGTTCTAAGCTACAGGTACCTGCATACTCTGCTGCTGAATGCTGGTACTTTGGTCCATACATGTTGTAGGAAATGCTTCTAGCTATTCACAATTTATATAAAAAAGGTCATCTCTAGTATGATAGATAACCATAGCTACCCATTTACACATAGAGAACCATAACTACCCATTTTTAGTGTTTATCTTCTGTGCAAACAAAACATCCGTGTGCCATTTCATCCATTTTTCTCCAGTATATCCTACTAAAGTAATAAGTGACATAAAACAATACCTCAAGTTAAACAAAGTTACTCTTTGCTTCAGTGATACTTGGATAACGTGATATTCCATCACTTCCCATTTCTTATGTAATTAGCAAACAAGAACAACACCTTCCTTAGAACTCTAATGCTGGCAAAAAAAATAACCAGAAAAATATAGTTAATTTTATTGCCAGCATTAAAAGTTCCCAGGAAGGCGCTCTTCCTGTTTATTAACCACTTCAATACCGGGCACTTTTACCCCCTTCCTGCCCAGGCCAATTTTCAGGTTTCAGCGCTCTCACACTTTGAATGACAATTGCGCGGTCATGCAACACTGTACCCAAACTAAAATGTTATAATTTTGTTCACACTAGAACTTTCTTTTGTGGTATTTAATCACAACTGGGGTTTTATTTATTGCTAAAGTAACAAAAAACACATTTTTCACATTTTTCTTTGTTTCTGTTATATACGTTTGCAAATAAATAATTGTTCTTCATAAATTTAGGCCAAGATGTATTCTGCTACATTTGGTGAAAATAACCTAAATCAGTGTTTATTATTTAGTCTGTAAGAAAGTTTTTGAAGTAGTAATTTTTTTGTCATAACTGTTTGGAAAATGAAGAAATTAAAAAAAATTATTTTCACAAATTTTTTTTTTTTTTTTTTTTAACATACTGTCACCAGAGCAGTACAGCATCAGCATATAACTGGTGTGGGGTGATCAGGGACACTGACTGGTGACATTACGAAAAAAAAAATATATATTTATTAAATTTTTTCTTTTTCATATTGCACTATGACCAAAGTAGTATAATGTTACCTTAGTAACATTGTATTACTTTGGGGAAGTGATCAGTATATTTTTTTTTTTTTAACAATTGCTTATAGCAAAGAATTATTTTCCTATAAGCAAGCATTTAACTGAATGATATTAATTCAATTTTTTTTTTTTGTGATTAGCTGTGATTGGCTACAGCTAATCACATGACACAGATGGGCTGTAATTGGCCCAGCCTGTGCATATGATCACTGTGACCATTCACAGCTAGACACACTTGCATACAATGGATGGCATGAAAGGAAGCCATCCATTGTATACAACTGTCATGTGACTTAATGTGATTGGTCACAGCAGGTCACATGGTACTGGTAACGGGATCGGTACACAGATCTGTCATCAGCTGTGTCCGAGGTACACGGCCGGCGACAGATTTCGCCACAGCATGGCCCTGCGGGCACGCGCAAAGCACAATATAGGAAGGACGTTATATGACACCTTCCTGGACGGACGAAGTGTTCGCCCGGCCGTCATTTGACCATAGGCCGGGCAAAGTGGTTAATTACATAAAGTGATGGAATGTCACATTAAACAATTGTTCACAGATCCAAATGATTAGTTTAGTACAAAGAATTTCTGGAAGATGCCGTTTCATTGAAATATTCCTCACCTCAAACAATCATATCTCTGTGTGTATGGTCAGCATTAGTGAATTTAGCTGCATTTTCCAAGTAATCACAGTTGTTTTCATTTACAAATGCTTTATGCGAACAGCTTACAAGCAGCACCTCATTTGCTATATTGCACCAACTATGTTTTATTATTCAAGGTGTTCAGTATCAGTCACTGGAATGATAAAGTGTATGTAAACAAAAATGTAATATATTGCGGCTGACTAATCCTTAAATGTGATGGCTACAACCGTTTTCTTTAATGACTTGACTGTTCAGTTCAAAGCATAAGCACACCTGTAACTGACAATTATCATTTATGACAGGCCTTGAATGTAACTGGGAAAAATGTTTAATTGGTAGGTTTTGTTTGATTTTAAAAAGTGCTAGCTGGAGTTCAGCTTTAATTTGTTAGTCACTTAAAGGGGAACTAAAACCTCCTAGTCCTTTCAGCCAAGGAAGCTGCCATCCTAGCCTCTGTTTGATCTGCAACTACCATGATGCTGCACATGCGATCAGTTATGATTCCAGCCATTTGCTGGTTTGACAGTTTGGTTGAGAACACAAGCAAGTGTGACTCCCAGCGTGTCAGGAATGTGACTGTTTTTTTAAACTGTTACAATCGGTAGGTTTAGTTCTGCTTTACAGCCCATCAAAATCTAATAGTCCATCCTACACTACACTTGCCAAACAATGCTGCTCTCCAAGGGTGTCTCCATTGCTCCTCCGAAGATAGAAGAGCCACCCTAAGACAGGAAATCTGTTACTGGCCAGATCACTAGATGAAAAATAAGAGGGGGGGTTGGGAGAGGGGGAAAGCTTACAATCAGACACATAATGCATCCACTACATCTAAAGATTTGGAAAGCTGCAATAAAATTACATTTTTGTTTTTAGGTTTAGATATAAGTGTGATATATAGATATTTGTTTTTTTAAGAATGTGTTTACTTTTCAATAAAATTCAACCACCTCTGAGCTCTTTGGAACACCCTGCACATTTAATGAATATACTTATAAAACCAAGTGGCAAAAGAAAACTGAGCCATTCACTGAAGTACAAGGCAGATTCACTCACAGGTATACAATAAATAGAGCTTTCAAAATGAAAAGATTAATTAAGGCAAGACATGACAAGACATTCATAGAGCTGGGCTGAGATTTGGACTGTGCTTTCTTATCACAGAACAATGTGCTGAAGCACCCCCTGCTGGTGGATTTGGTAACGGAACAGGTCAGCCAAACCACAATTTGGGAATATGAGAGTTAATTTCATGTTTTACTATACTCTGGTGAACCAGCAGCTATGACATCAGAAAAAAAGTCAGAATTAGAGCCTTGTTATCGAGACACATCTTATGAACGGAGTGTTTGGTTTAAATGAATGGACCATTTACCTAAAGATATAATTAAAAGAAGCAATGATACAGCAGTAATACATGATATTTTGTTGATATATTATACAAAATGTGTCATTTACATGAAGCTAAGTGTTTTACTAAATTCTGCTTTGAAAAGCCCAGTCCACAGCTTGTCCCCTGAAGAGCATATTGACCAGAAAGGCAATAACAGGACAAAAAACAGGTAAGCAGTTACAGTGTTACAGGAGAAGGCTGATATGTAGGCAGACTCTCTCCTGTTCCTATGTGACTTTCTGATTGGCCTGCAAGGTCCACTTTGGATGTAGCATGTTGTCTCTGTAGTAGAGTGGCATCCAGCACATTGCCCTGCATAGTCGTATACCATATCTCGTCTGAGGGGGAAAAAAAAAAAAAAAAAAAAAAAAACTCTGATCAATGAAGTCGGAATCAGCATTATATGATGTGCGTGTGATGTCAGCTGGCTGCACTGGTGGCTGAAACCAGCAAAGTAAATTATTCGCTGTCCTGTATCCTTTGACAGATCTCATCTGTAAACTCTGAACACTTGGAGTTTCCACCCAAATCTTTAGTTAAAGTCTGTAACAAAAAAAACAGTAAAAAGGAAAAACAGTTTAATTTGTATGAATTAGGGAAGAGACAATTAACTAAAGAATAAGTTCACCCCCCCCCCCCCCCCCAAAAAAAAATATATTTTAATTAATTAAATAATAATAATACATAATGCACTTTTTTGTAGGTTAAAAAAAATGTGAATTTACTAGTTTTTTTGGAAAGCATTGCACCTGTGATCAGCAGATCGCTGGTGTAATCTCAGGCTCCTGCAGACTGCAGGTGTAGCTGTCTGCCTGTACCTCCGATACAGGTAGGCAGTTACTGAATGACAGGAAGCTCAATGGACTACGAGAGCACTCACCAGTGTTCTCGCAGCTCATTGAGAACTACAAGTCATTACATGTCAATGCTGACGGCAAACATTCACAGAACTCTGGGAATGAATGACGTGGCCGCGTAGGTGGAGCCCTGCACGGCCATGCTGTTTTCAAATTCAGACAGCTGGTGCAGTGAGAAAATACCTGGCCCGCTGTCATGGTCTGGGGAGAAGCTACAGCAGTGGGAACATGTAACATGTTCCCAAAGGTGAGCTTCTCCTTTACAGCAGTTCATTAAATAAATGTCTAAAGACTCATTTACACCAGCCTACTGGTCTGAGTTGCCTAACGCAGTTCCAATGCAATGAAAAGACAAAAAGCCTGGGTTTGCCTGGGGTCTGTTTGCACAAACATGCTGCATTGGTGTGCGTTGCAGTGAAATGATGCAGGCATACATACCCAGCTCACTGCAACACATGGTATCGTGTTGCAATGGCTGCTGTGCAAAGAATGAAGTGAAAGCAAGTTCAAATACAGTTGAGGAGGAAAACAGCAAGCACTGCAATGTGCTGTACGGACACAATGCACGCCTATAAGAGCACCTGCTGGTGTGAACACGCCCTAAAAACACAGCACTTACCTTTCTAGATTTAATAGTGTCAAAGCATGCAGTCTCTATCTTGCGTGCATGGTCCTGCAGCCCCATGTGCCGGAGCATCATGACTGCACTCAGAAGTAAAGCAGTAGGATTAGCCAAGTCTTTCCCTGCTATATCTGGTGCAGTGCCATGAACCTAAAACAGGACCATAAGAAAAGTAAAATTAGCCTACTAATCCTCAAGGATAGATCTTTGTGAATATTACCTGTAACTGATTAAAGGAGCAGTTACAGATAGTAGGCAACTATTAGGGTCTACAGGAAACCTACCCAGACCCGTATTTGTTTTTTGATTCCTACCACCCACTGGAACACAACTGCAGGTTATTAGGACAGAATGTCTAAAGTCAAAGTACACAGACATCTCAGGAGTGCCTTGAAAATTTGTGGCTACCCAGAGTGGGCTTTCGTTAAAACATCCACAAGACCAAGCAAAAAATCTGGACTACTGAACAGAGGGAAAAAACAGAACACATGAATAATATTGTCATCCTACAAGAAGCTGGAGTGTCAGAAAACGTCAGGAGGATCATCTAATGAATATTGTATACTTGTCTTTCAAGTCCAGCAATACACAGACAAATATTCTTACAAGCAAAGTAACTTTGTATATGCAGTGCAGTGTACTGAAGAATACAAAGACAACACTGGGGAAACAAAACAACCTCTCAACAAACAAATGGCCCAATATAGGAGGGCAAATTTACAGGCCATGACTACAACTTAAGGAAATGAAACATTCTTTTGAGGCGAAGTGCACATTTTGGATTGGTTTGCAAGAGGTATGAAAGAGATCATCTACACCAAAATGGAACCACCCCTCCCTGACAGGGTGGGGGCCTTCATCACCATCTTCCTTCCACACATAACATCGCTGCTTCTGTGATCTGAAAATTAAGGAACTAACACCTATGAGGGCTTCTTGATACCAACTATGGGGTTATGTAAGTAGCACAGGATGGCACTTCAACTTTCACATCTCCCATCCCTTTCTTGGACAATCAACATTTAAATATTCCATGGCGATTGGATTAAAGTATCCTAATGAGTAAATATAAATGCTGCTGAAATGAAGAAGTGGACTGGTAAGTCAAGAAACATTTTCAACATTACAGAAGTTCAGTTGAATGTGATTAATACTAAATATACATAAATCGGGTATTATTTTTATTTGGTGAAGTTTTAGGTTTCAATTCATGCCATTGCTTAGGTTCTTTCCTATTGGCCAACCTTTACCATCTACAGCTTGGCACAAGTTCACGGTTGTAATGAGAGCTACAGGCAAAGCTTCTAAAGCTAAATTTCTTAAAAGAGAAAAATTGTTTTCTTGAGGATGAAAAGGCCTTTTTTCACTTCTATTTATAGGTGTTAATAACACCTCTCTTCTCTAAGGAACATGAATTTGAATTGATGCAAACATGTCAGCATGCATTACAGTGCACACTGCACTGCACTTCAACATGTGTTGCAACTTGCATTACAATGTGCATTGATATGCATTTCCCTTGATTTAGGTGGAAACACGTGCATTAAAACACAGCCTAAAACCCGCTTATGCACACTTTTGAGGAGCTAAATCTCTTATTTGTTAGGCACCATAAAAGAAAATAAAGCTGAAGTGCCATTCCTATTTTTAATAATAAAAAAAATCCAAAATAAACAAATCCCTAACACATCCCTTTGTTTGGAGACTTTTTAAAATTTTCTTTGTGACTATGTAGGAAACAACTGATGTTTTCTCAAGTATCTTATAACTGAAAAACAGAAAAAAAATTGTACTTACCGACTCAAAAATCGCTACCCCATTAGCACCAATATTTCCACTTGGAGTTACTCCCAACCCTCCAATCAGACCAGCACATAAATCACTTAAAAAAAATAAAATAAACAAACGTTAGACAGGAACTTCATCTTTCCCTACAAATTTGAGAATCAAGTTTACCCAACAGGTAAGGTGAAAGCTGACTGGCTGATTTACCCACATGGCTAGTTATATCCATCAGGGAACTTACATTATCAACATGTGTCCAACTGACAACTAAGTAGTCTCAACAGGGAGAGTGAGGCTATCTGGTTGAACTCAATGGACATGCCACAACAGATGTACAGGGCAAGGAAACCCGCTGCTGTGGTATCACTACAGGATTTGAGTCATCAATAAGATGTTAGAATGATTGGCAATTTCTCTCCTATAATTTGATAACAATTCACACCTTCAACCATGTAACGTGGCTGTTTAGTCCCAGACGTCGTGGCACCATGGTGAAAGGATTACTTAAATAGAATAGGTGATTTCACAAACTTCTAACCTCCAACCATATTCTTGGACAATCGGCATCTCTCTCGACAAATTCAATGTTGAACGGATTGAGCCGAATATTCATGTGGCTACAAGTGCTTGGGTATGGTTCCCGACACTCCTTAGAACTGAGAAAGCCACCCGGATGAGTGGTGAAAGGTCTTCAATGTTATAGAAAATGTCCAGGTAAATACAACTTACTACTACTAGCCTACCATGACTTGCATAATTTGAACCTTCAGACAGCAGCACTTACTGAAAAACAAACATTTCTACATTGTGCAGGTGGAATGTTTCTCTTTTCTTGTTTTCCTAAGAATTTGTTCAAAATAAATTTTTGGGTACTCAGGGTCTTGAGATTCGCCTGCCTGGCCAGTTTTATAGGCTGCAGAAAACATCTCTAGTGTCCAAATCTCCTTGCACAATAGGTAAGTTTGTTTACAAGAGAAGTTCACATAAAATTAAATAAAAGTAAAATAATAATAATAATTGCACTTTTTTGGCAGGTAATAAAATGTGCATTTATTATTTTTTTTCTAAGGAGCCTGCAAATCATTGCACCCACGATCAGCAGAGCGTGGGTGCAATGCCAGGTTCCTGCAGACTCTCAGCCAGCTGTCTGCCCATATGTTGGTTACTGAGTTACTGAACTGCAGGAAAATCAATTAACTACAAGAACGCTCATCAGCACCCTTGCAGTGCATTGAGAACCACAAGCCGTCTGCAATAGAAAACAGTAGTTGTAGTTCATTCATTCACAGATTTCTGAATGAACAGGACAGTTCACAGAACTGAATGAATGATGCAGCTGTGTGTGTTTTCAAACTGTGACAGTGGGTGTTGGGAAAGGATCCCCTGCCCGCTGTCACGAGGCTGGGGGGGGGGGCTCAGGGGAGTGTAACATATAACAAGTTCAGAAAGGTGAACTGAGCCTTTAAGCTCGTACAATTCTAAACACATCCATGAAGAACAAGCACATTTATGGACAATTCACAGGTTTATTTACTAAAGCTGGTTCACTCAGAATCTGGTGCACCTGTGCATGGTAGCCAATCAGCTTCTAACCTCATTTTTCCAATTAAACTTTAGCAATAAAACCTGGAAGCTGATTGGTTTCTATGCAGAAGTGCACGGGATTCTGAGTGAATCAGCTTTAGTAAATAAACCCCACAGTGTGGGGGGGCCACCATTTTTCCACACTGCAAAATGCAGGTCACCGCTAGGACAAACAGAAAACAATTGTTTTCAATGTGTCCTATTCACACTGAAACCTGGAGCTGCACTGCAGTGATCTGAGATGCACTAGACAGGATCGCATGTCACTACAGCAGCGCAGCACACTTTGCTACTGTACAACATCATGAATGAAGTACCACCTTTGGGCATCTCAAATAAAAGTTTATTTGAAAAAAAGGGAGCTGTGTGATGTGCTGAATCAAGCACCACACTGCCCCCCCCCCCCCCCCTGCCGCCGACTCAAAGCTGCTGGACAGTAAACTGCTGTGGTTTACTGTGCGGCTACTGTCCATTTATGTGTGAACCGGCCCTTAACCATTTTAGTCTTCATAAGAGTAGATTCCTTACCCAAAACATCAGCCGTTTACTTTAAGTGAATAGCCATGGGTAGAAATATTTAAGTCACCATTGTAGAATTGTTGAAGGTGCAAGCCCTTGGGCTGTCATCCTCATTCTTGCGTTATTAAAAGTGCAACCCTTTGGGGGAAGGTTAGATATCTCAGATTTTTAAGCTGCCCACAGATGGATCGAAATTTTCACAGCTCAGCAGGGACTAGCCAAATTTCAACCCATCTATGGTTGTTCCTGCTTCACAGAAGTGGATCACAAAATCGACTTCTGTCGAACAGGGCTGTTGTACAATTTTCCTGATCAGCCAGTTACAGCCACTGATCAGTGTATTCTAATGGAGGAGTCCATACTGTCAGGATACAATGACACGGTGGGAAGGATTCCTCCATCCATCTCTCATGTGCAGATGGGGAATCTGTGGTTTTTTTTTTAGATCTACCCGCTGGCTGATTGAAGAAAAAAAAAAAAAAGGGGGGGGGGGGGCATCTAAAGCCAGCCTTAATGCTGTGTCTGTCCACAATTGAGAGAATTCCTTTCTTCCAATCCAAACAGCACTAATCTAGGATATTTACATTACTTCCTGTGTTAATGGTACAAAAAGTGAGGCAATATCCTCCTAATGTGGACAGTTAGCAAAAACTGACAGGACCTGTAACACTTTTAGACTCCATCAAAAATAGAGGCGGCTTCTTAAAATGGAATGCCAAGAAGGTCGTTTTGAAGTTTTAACGGTACAGCCTAGTTATTTCCAGTGCTAGGTATACATCTGGAGGGCTGCTGAGGATGCTTAAAAAAAAAAAATCTTTGTTTTATTCATGCTGGATTTATAGTAAGCTCTGATCTTTCAGCTGCTGCTCATATAATCGGTGTGTCGTTAACTCCTCGCCTCATCCATTCAAAAAACATCTTGCATTCTTTTCATGCTGTGGCTGGTCAAGGGGAGATTGTGATGTTCATGAACCCCTCCCTTCATCCATTTTCAGAATAGCTTGTGTATTCCATGAATAGGATATAAGACATTTTCTGAATGGACGAGATGAAGAATAAGCGACCCGGAACAACATCAGTGCTGAGCTGTGCCGCACTATTATCTGTGCGACTGTCACTGTGTCAAAACCCTTAATAAAACTTTATTTAAAAAAAAAAAAAAAAAAGTACTGTGAGTGGACGGCTATTGGTTAAAAACAACAAAGTATCACAGTTCAAAATTCAAGGTGTGTTTATCGTCATTAGGAAAACCTCTGTCACAAATGTATAAATGTACTTTGCAGAACTCTGTCCACTATACCAAATTTTGCCCACATATTTTGACAACACAATAGGTCCCAGGTTCAAACAAATCTATTTTTAATTTTTTTTTATTAGTACATATAGTCATAAGATGACAGTTGCCTGATCTAGCCACTTTTGTGGTGATCTCATGTCTACAACCTCCAACATTGGCAGCTCTCTGGATGAAATAATAATTGGGCAGATCTGAAAAAAAAAAAAAAAATCTGTCTCTTTCATCCACCCTCCCCCATTCAGAGAATGTGTAGCATTTTGTGAAAACAACAAAAGGAATAAATGGATGAGAGGGCAGCCATCAGAACTCCTTCAATGTTAAGCCCAAGGCAGTTAACCCTTGTAGTCTCAGAAGTTCAGTGCTGTGAAGATGACCCAGCTTCAAGGAAAATACATTTTCTATAGTAAAGAGCCGTCATCAGGACATGGGATCCACTTAATTACAGGTAAGTTACATGATTGAAACTCCACCCCCCCCACCCAAATAAACCACGACTTTAAAGAACCTAATTTGTAGTAGAAGTATGAAGCATGCACCTATACTTTGCAATATCCTTGGGAGAGCTAAAAACTATGGAACTCAATTAAGCAGACTGTCCTGCAGCTCTCATTTGGTTGCTTTGGTCGGCCATCGTAGTGATGGACCAAAAACGAGACAAGGGTGGGGGGGGGGGGGGGGGGGTGGGTGTACTTGACTGCTTGCATAATCTAGTTCTCCAGAACACTCATGAAGATACGGATATATTGATTAATGTGCAGGTAGCCTTGTTTGTGATTGTACGTCTGGACAACAATTTGTGTACTAAAACTAACCTTAAGATATCACCATACAAGTTTGGCATAACAAGTACATCAAACTCCGTAGGGTCCTGAACCATCTGCGAATTTAGAAAGAAAGTCTAATTAGAAAAAAAGAAATAGAGGAATAGAACAGCGCCTGGGCATTACAGTGGTTAAATATATATATGGATTTTATAGAATAGAATGTTTTATCTTACATTGAGGCACACTGTGTCCAAGTACATTTCATTAAATTTTATGTCCTTGTAGTTCTCTGCAACTTCTCTGCACTTCTTCAGAAAAAGTCCATCAGACATTCTCCTGGGAAGCAAGCATAAAAAGAGTGAGCAAATGGTACATAAGCATAATTGCTTCAGCCTCTTCTACTCTTATCCCTCAAATAAAAATGGAGTTCACATATTCTTCAGAACATTTCATAGACCAATTATGGAGGTCACAGCGAACTTCCTGTACAAATGTCAGATTTATAAAAACAGAAAATAGAGGGTAAAAGCAAAAGATGATATTTCAGTTATTTCAAAAATGCAGAATTAGACAGGCTAATCCACTCTGTACGAGAACTCACATGATATTGGCTTTGTGCACTGCAGTCACTGTGCTTCTTTGGTTACTCCTCGCATACTCAAAAGCAAATTCTGCAATCCTGTGGCTGGCTTGCTCTGTAATCAGTTTAATGCTTTGCACTACTCCATCCACAATCTGTAATGCATAAACACAACAAACTTTAGTTAACTCACATTTACCTTAATGTAACTTTCTGCAGGTCTTTATGAAAACTATAAAAACATATTTTATCTATGGCTGATGTGTAATCACGATCGGTGGCGAGTTCACGTGTGTTCAAAGAGGAGGAGTTTGAACCCACCTGAGACATCCCCCCAGGAAACTGTCAAAGCTAACAGCCAATCAAAGATGGCAGAAAAGATGGCAGAATTTCACGTTCTGTAGCCACATATTATATTATATATATATATATATATATATATATATATATATATATATATATATATATATATATATATATATATGCTCCTTGAAGCAGCTGCAGTGCGGGAAATGCCTTCACCACCAACGATTGGCTGTTGTCTTTGACAGCTTCCTTGTGGTCAGGAACACTCCTGAGCTCATCCCTAATCATGATGGCTGAATAACCATTTTGGTTTTAAAACAGAGCTGCAGTAGCTGTTCTCAACCACATCATTATTATAAAATGGTGTTTGGTTCCAGTGACTGTTGTAAGTTCTGGTTGGGTTTAATGCCACTCCCCATGTTAGGCTCAGGAACTGCTTCAGACAGTGGTGGCATCCTGGCATGAAACAAAACTCACCCAGCTCTACCTAGCAACAACAGATCATATATTGCATGATAATAACAATAGATCACTATCACTACTAGCACTATTACAAAAGACTGTATAATTTGGACACTGAGTACTTTTAGTTTATTTAGGCACGTTAGTGGTTAAAATGATGCTCAAGTCATGATTTATTGGTGGATTGCATAGGACAGCACTGTGATAGATATATTTACTATCACTACTGAGTTATCTGTTAATGCAAAAGTCCATAAGGCTATCGAATCATGTCCCCTCAACATTTAATCGAGTGCCCCATGAAGAATGTGGTGAAACAAATCTCTACTGAGACAACAAAATAAGCTTTATTAAGAAAAAAAAAAAAAAAAAAAAAGTGAACGGATTGTTCCATCCAAACAATTGAGATGGATCGAGGAATCCTCCCTGCTGGAGACATTGTATGTTGATAGTGAGGACTGCAGCCGCTGAGAGAGGAAACATTTCCAACAAGCTCTATCAACTCCTGTTGAGTGGGAATGGCCACACATAGATCGAGCAGCCATCAGCAAAAATAAATAAAATGGGGGTTGTTAACAGGTAAAGAAAGATAAAGGGGGTGGGATGGGGTTCAGGGAGGGGGATAAACCAGGTGCATTCTGTTAGGTAACAAAAGTATCTTACCAGAACTGTCTAAATAAGGTAGACCCGTTAATGCATTCCAGGTTGGAGGTTGAGCCACAAATCCTGTATTATTCCAGACTGGGACAGTCCAGCAAATCCTGATAGGCCAACAAATAGAAAAATGCAGTCCATGGATTCCACGTATCCTGAAATGTTTCCTCCCGGTAATAGTGGGAAGGCAGCAAGGTCCTCCATCTGCTGAATTTCATTTACTCTGGCGAACCATAATAATGGGGGATGCCACACTGTGGGTATTGCAAGCCCATGCAGAGTTAGGATGGTTAACAGGGAGGATTTGTAATGCGTCAGTGGAATATGGTTAATACGAAGCCGGTAACTCATTGTAACCCATAGGGTGATGGCCTAGGTCGACCAATGTGAGTTGGTGCACCAGCTTTTGTGCTTACCCAAAATGGGTGAACTTTCAGACAACACCACATGACATACAGAAGGGTGCCTGAATAAGAACAGTATCTCCAGCAGAGGATGGACAACTGTGGGTTTATCTTAAGGAAAACCATCCAGTATCCTAAACCATCATGAAAGGATCCTAAAGCTCTCTCTATTTGAGCTGGGGTGAAAAACATTTGTATCGCTTTCTCCCCTTTATGGATAGAAGGCAGAATTTAGCCTACTGGAAGTGTAAGGAGCTTATACAGTGCCTTGAAAAAGTATTCCTACCCCTTGAAATTTTCCACATTTTGTCACGTTACAACCAAAAACAGAAATTTATTTTATTGGGATTTTATGTGATAGATCAACTCAAAGTGGCACATAATTGTGCAGTGGAAGGAAAATGATAAATGGTTTTCAAATTTTTTTTATAAATAAATATCTGAAAAGTGTGGCATGCATTTGTATTCAGCCCCCTTTAATCTGATACACCTAACTAAAATCTAGTGGAACCATTTGCCTTCAGAAGTCACCTAATTAGTAAAGTGTCCACCTGTGTGTAATTTAATCTCAGTATAAATACAGCCGGTCTGTGAAGCCCTCAGAGGTTTGTTAGAGAACATTAGTGCACAAACAGCATCATAAAGGCCAAGGAACAAACCAGACAGGTCAGGGATAAAGTTGTGGATAAGTTTAAAGCAGGGTTAGGTTATAAAAAAAATATCCCAAGCTTTGAACATCTCACAGAGCACTTTTCAATCCATCATTCGAAAATTGAACGTGTATGGCACAACTGCAAACCTACCCAGACATGACTGCCCACCAAAACTGACAGGCAGGAAAGGAGAGCAATAATCAGAGAAGCAGCCAAGAGGCCCATGTTAACTCTGGGGGAGCTGCAGAGATCCACAGCAAAGGTGGGAGCATCTGTCCACAGGACAACTATTAGTAGTGCACTCCACAAATCTGGTCTTTATGGAAGATTGGCAAAAAAAAAGCCATTGTTAGAATAAAAGCCAAAAGAAGCCCAGTTTTAAGTTTGTAAGAAGCCATGTGGGGGACACAGCAAACGTGGGAAGAAGGTGCTCTGGTCAGATGGGACCAAAATTGAACTTTTTGGCCTAAAAGCAAAACGCTATGTGTGGCAGAAAACTAAAACTGCACATCACCCTGAACACACCATCCCCACTGTGAAACATGGTGGTGGCAGCATCATGTTGTGGAGATTCTTTTCTTCAGCAGACATACCCAAAAAGACTTGCAGTGAAAAGTGGTTCTACAAAGTATTGACTCAGGGGGGCTGAATACAAATGCATGCCACACTTTTCAGTTATTCATTTGTAAAAAATGTGAAAAACCATTTATCATTTTCCTTACACTTCACAATTATGTGCCACTTTTTGTTGGTCTGTCACATAAAATTCCAATAAAATACATTTGCGTTTTTGGTTGTGACATGACAAAATGTGGAAAATTTCAAGGGGTATGAATACTTTTTCAAGGCACTGTATATCTGAGATAAGTAAGGGATATTTGTCTCTTCTTGGCAAAGGTCCTCGAATGGACTAGTGGGTCTGGAGAGCCAGACTTGGTCCAAAGTAGCCCTTCAGAAATGGTATAATTGGTAAGAGGACCATGCATCAATAGGCAGTCGAGAAGATGTGATAGCCAGCGTGATAGGGTTAGAAAATGCATAAGGATGAACCTGCTCACTTGCATGAGACGATTAAGGAGTGCATTGGCAGTGCTTGCAGTGAATTCTGGCTCTCCCAATAGTGAGGGTTTTGGTGCTATCCCAGGTAATGGGAAAGTTGAGGAAATAAAAGCATGGCTCAGACCGTCAGATGCATTTTAAGAGATTTCGAATGACAGGATGGAAGCCAAGGAAGACATGACAAGCAACTGGGGAGCATTGCTGTTAGATAGATGTGAAGCTCGGTTACATTGGATTGTGTCTAGTAAACTTTTTCCTCCGTCTCGCATTGGGAAAGAGATGTGGGCATGTGGTAATATGTCTCCCCGTGTGAAACACAGAAGAAGGAAAAGCAAGTTGGTGAAGAACATCTGGGGGATATAGGCAGTGTGAATCAGATATAGCACCTGAATGATAATTTTAAATGCACTACTCCTCATGAACCACAATCGATTGCTTGACTCCCATCTCTGTAAATCTGAGATCTTGGTTAGAAAGGCTCAAAAAAATTAGCCTTGTACAACTTAGCGGGGTCAAGTGTGAATATGATACCCAGGTATTTAAAGAAAGAACAGGCCCACCGAACAGGGAAGGACTGGTAAAACTGATCTTATAACTAGACAGGTTTAGTTGCACTTACTGAGTGACCAACTAAGTTTACTGGTGAGGTATCACTGGACCTTGTTGGTGGTGAGTGGGTCTGTGGCAGTTCAACTCATGGAGGAATAAAATACAAAAATCCCCCTGCGCTCCACAGAACCTAGTGAGTAAGCTGCTATCACCTATTCTTTTATACCGCAAGATGTGTGAAATCAAATCATATAAGTGGTGAAGCGCTCAACTTATTTATCACGTGAATACTCAAATCATATTAATACAAAATAATTGTAAATAATTATAAACTAGTGCAATATCTTCATACACATAACAACTATATCCCTGGTGATATAGTGAAAACTTATATCTTTTAAACTGTGCAGAAAGTGAAAAAATACAATAATTAAATAAATAAATAGTGATACCACGCTGTGAAATTACTGGCAAAAGTGTTCAAAATAATGTCACTCCATGCTGCAAATAGTGCTTTTCGTGTAAATCTTGACGTGACTCCCCTCAATAGCAGAAATGCCCCCTCACCTTCCACATTCGACCCTTGCGGGTCACAGAGCCTTTTTGTATATATCTCTTTCTCTTTGATGTTCTCCACTGCCTCCACCGACCATAATCCACCTCCAGGCAGTAAGTACCTCTCCAATTACTCCCCTCATGCACCGAACTTTGTCAGGTAAACCTCTCCTCCACTGCCACCTCCGACCAAATTCCTCCTCCAGGCAGTAAATATCATCCAATACCCCTCACACAATGGACTCAGGCTCAGAGTGATTCATGTAAAACGATAAAACAGACCTCCATAGTGTAACATCGCTTTATTAGACTGATCCAATATAGTAAAATATTGCACTCACATGTCCCCACGATATTACAGGCAGTTTCCCATATGCTATGGGTGTATACAGGAGTCCCAAGATGGCGTCCGAACCCGGAACCGGAAGTACGTCACCGCTACGTCGACGCGTTGCGCCACTGTCACGTGGCTTCTTCAGGATCAGATCCTGAAGAAGCCACGTGACAGTGGCGCAACGCGTCGACGTAGCGGTGACGTACTTCCGGTTCCGGGTTCGGACGCCATCTTGGGACTCCTGTATACACCCATAGCATATGGGAAACTGCCTGTAATATCGTGGGGACATGTGAGTGCAATATTTTACTATATTGGATCAGTCTAATAAAGCGATGTTACACTATGGAGGTCTGTTTTATCGTTTTACATGAATCACTCTGAGCCTGAGTCATTGTGTGAGGGGTATTGGATGATATTTACTGCCTGGAGGAGGAATTTGGTCGGAGGGTGGCAGTGGAGGAGAGGTTTACCTGACAAAGTTCGGTGCATGAGGGGAGTAATTGGAGAGGTACTTACTGCCTGGAGGTGGATTATGGTCGGTGGAGGCAGTGGAGAACATCAAAGAGAAAGAGATATATACAAAAAGGCTCTGTGACCCGCAAGGGTCGAATGTGGAAGGTGAGGGGGCATTTCTGCTATTGAGGGGAGTCACGTCAAGATTTACACGAAAAGCACTATTTGCAGCATGGAGTGACATTATTTTGAACACTTTTGCCAGTAATTTCACAGCGTGGTATCACTATTTATTTATTTAATTATTGTATTTTTTCACTTTCTGCACAGTTTAAAAGATATAAGTTTTCACTATATCACCAGGGATATAGTTGTTATGTGTATGAAGATATTGCACTAGTTTATAATTATTTACAATTATTTTGTATTAATTATTTGAGTATTCACGTGATAATTATAAGTTGAGCGCTTCACCACTTATATGATTTGATTTCAACTCATGGAGGGCCCCCCTCAAGCATGTGAAGATTGTGGAGGTGAGTGAGGAGTAATACATATTAATAGAATGTTTTAAAACTCCAGCCAGTTGGAGAACAATGATCATTTTTATTAGTGCATGACATAAAACAAAGTCAACGCATTTTGAGAGATCATTGCATTATATAAAGTAGTGATAGCAAAAAGGTATAAATAGCATAATGAATGGTGCCAAACTGACATACCACGTGTTCAATGCCACTGTATTCTCCCTCAGTGTTTTCCCGAATGGTAACCAGGTCCACATCAGTGTAAGGAGTCTTATAACCCTCAATGGAGACGCAGGGGCGGACATTAGCATAAAGATCAAAAGTTTTTCTAAGTAACAGGTTCATGGACGGATGTCCAGCAGCAATTGGAGTCTTCAAAGGACCTGAAAAAAACATACATGAAATGTCACACACACTGTACATAAATTGTACCAGAGACAGGAGAATAAGAAAAGGGTTACCTTTAAGACCCATTTTGTTTTTATCCATAGATTCTTTGGCTTCAGGGGGGATCATCCATTTGCCACCAGGGCCTTTAATGGCTGTAACATTTCTCTCTTCCCACTGAATGGGTGCCTGTAGCAAGAGGAAGTTCAGTAGTAATTATATTTATAGTCTTTGTTTACTACAAATATATAAAAACATACATTCATTATGCATTTCAAGCTTTGCAAAAACTTTTTAATTTTACGTGACAAACTTTTGTTCAGGGTTGTTCATGGATGATCCACTTGAACTGTTTAAAATTTTCTGCATTATAGGTTATTTATTAAATTTTAATTGCGCATACAGTCCTATCTTTTCATGCTCAATATGTTAAGCTAAAATATTAAATAAATTAGTCCAAAAGAAAATCTTCCCTCTTATAACAAATACTCTACCTATATATAAAACAACACGACTTTCCCCATATAAATTATATACGTGAACTAACACAAAATCATAAAGTCCAGTGTCTCAGTAATCAGAAACAAATCATAAAAGTCCAGTGTCTCGATAATCAAAAATGGTAGAAAAAAAAGATATATTTTCTTGCAGTGTTGATTGTGTTCAATGATTTTTGTGAAAAACCTCAAGAGAGAGCTCTCTCTTATGATTAAGTCCCGGATGTGACGAAACGCGTCAAGAGGAAGTGACGTCATACGCAAGGAGCAGGAACCGGAAGTGTTACAGCGGCCATCTTTGTTGGGGAATCGCTGGATACCTCGTGTGTGAACTGCCTGGGAAACTGTGGGAACTGCCTGGTAATCCCCACAAAGTGGGGTTTTGTTTGTGGACTTTATGATTTTGTGTTAGTTCACGTTTATAATTATATGGGGAAAGTCGTGTTGTTTTATATATAGGTAGAGTATTTGTTATAAGAGGGAAGATTTTCTTTTGGACTAATTTATTTGATTTGAAGCTTTCAGGGGTTGAAAGTTTTTTCCAATTTGGAATTAGTGTAGGTTTAAGGGTTTTTTGATTTGGTATTATATTCACACTGTATTTATAAGCTAAAATATTGCTACCTTTGCACTAAAATTAATTTAAGTGGATCTTTTTTCCAAAAATTTTGCATTTCATAAATGGCTGTGCAAATAGAGTCACAGAAACAAAAAAATTGCAGCAGCTACAAAAAAAAAAAAAATATTCATTATAGAATGTGGTTTATTGTGAGTTACCGGTATGATGTCCTGCTAACAAGTAATACAAACTGCAGGCATATTACAGTATGTGACTGGTTGATTGGGTTGAAAGGACAGAGACTAGGACTTTATATTACTTTTTTTTTTTTTTAAAGCCAATATTGTGTGTGAATTTTTATCTGCTTTTATTAGGACTTGATACAATAGGATGAAAGGACAAATGCGAGTTGAAGTTTCATGAATATTCATGAATATTTTTACCAAAAGCCTTCTAAACTGTATACTGTATATAAATTGATCTGCACTACCACTGGGCAGGAAGACTTATTTCTTTTGTACATAGAACTCCTTTTGCTTTGGCCTAATCGGAAATGATAAAATGTTATTCAAACAATCATATTCACAGTGAATAGTGCAATGCAGGAGGAGAAAATTAAAAAAAAGCCAAGCAGTGGCGTGGTATGCTAATTGTACTGCTACATCCTTGACGATGCAGTGGGACACTAACATTATGACGTCAACGTTGCTTTCTGCATCAATAAATTGAATGCAGTGCTCCATGACATAGTGACATCCTGCACCCACAGTATGGTCTCAATTCTTGCTGGATATCAGTCAACCCAGAAGACTATGGACTACTTGTTCCAGAGTTGTGTTACTACGGGGAACAGCAATGGAGGGGTGGTAAGGGGAATATAACAGCTAGAGTTGCTTATACATTTTAAGGCTGGAGGACCACCTTTATATAAGTATTAGCTCAGGGTTTGAATTTATAGGTCTATTCTACCCAATTAAAGCCAAATCTCTTGATACACTGTCTATTTAAAGCAATTCTGAAGGCTTAACTTTTTAAAAAAAAAAAAAAAAAAAAAAAGAATAACAAACATGTTGTGTAATGGTTTTTCACACAGCAGCCCAGATCCTCCTCTTTTCAGGTTCCCCGCTGGTGCTCCTGGTACCTCCCTCCTGTGGGGTTCCCCCGCAGCAAGCAGCTTGCTATTAGGCATGCACAATCCCCAGCTGCTGCTCTGTGTATCCATTCACGCATGGAGCTGCGGCTTGTCCCCACCCCCTCTCTCTCTCCTCATTGGCCCACTGGCTGTTATTGACAACACAGCCAATGAGAAGAGGGAGTCCTGAGATAGCCGAGACTACAGTACACGTCACTAGATCGAGAGGGGACTTAGGTGAGTATTAGGGTCGACTGGGGGGATACTGCACAGAGAAGGTTTTATTCATAGAATGCATGAAGGTAAAAAACCTTGAGCCTTTACAACCACTTTAAGTGCGAGAAGTAGTTCAGCTGTAGTGGAATGCTACCCAAAAAAACAAAGTGCATCCAATGCAATGAGACCAGAGCCTAAAGCAGAGGGTCAACGGTAGCTACCACTTTTCATTCTGCAATCAATGAAGCACCTTCATACCTGCGACTTTCATGTTGTCAAAATAAAACCCCAAGGAGTCAGAAAGCAGTCAAGTCTATAAGCTGCTTATGGAGACAGATGTCAAGGTAAGACTTGCAAAACATGAATTCCAATACCCTTTTAGTTTAGTAGTGTTTTATTACTAACTTTGGCTGCCTCAAAAATCTTCATGACGGCAGAGGAAATCTCACGCCCGATCCCATCTCCTGGTATTAGAGTGACCGTCTGCATCTGAAGATGAGAAATGTAAAGAGAAACATAAGAACAGATCTATGTACAAGTGTTTACAACACATTTGTCAGTGCAATGTGCGCCTACCTGGCTGGAAAAGGCTCTGGCTCCATTTTGGTTACCAACTGCTCCAGCCAAGCGACAGATCTGTTCAAATGATCAAAATACAAAGTTAGCCATTACAAAAGCATGGTATATAGTTCAGGAGTGAGCTCATTGCATGCCTGATATCATATTTATCAATCAATTACTCAACACACATACATCAGATGGAACTAAAAATAGTAAGAATAAAAAGCTGCAGAGTTGTACAATTCTGGGAGAATCTTTCATTCTATCTAATAACATATACTGAGATGTAGAAGAAACCTTCTGATGTTGACCATTTTTGGAAAATGCTGGCTGCCTGGCTGTCATTAAAGTCAGAACTCCTAAGCCCTGTGTAATTTCAAAACTGTTTTTAGTTTTGGGCTGAGTATGAAAGCTGAAGTCTGTATCAGGATTGGACCCAATGTGGAGATTCCCCCCTTCTCAGCCACAGGAAGGGGGAAATCTCTCCAACAAAAAATATAAACGGCAATAAAAACACCTTTTTCCTTCAGGTAAAGAACACTAACCCCCACCCCCAGGTCATTTTTTTTTCTTATATACCCCCTCTACCTTTTTCCTTGTGGCATCCACAAAAACATACTTACAAACCAAGCAAATCCAGTATTATTCTCCAGTGATCTGTTGCTGCATGCAGTGTCCCATGCCACCATTGTCCTCTCTGATGTCATTGGGAGCCGCTGTGTCTGCCTGGTTCTTGCAGCTGGCTCCTTGATAATGCACACTCATAATTTCATCAAGGTGCCGACACCAAGAACCAGCAGAGAGACAGCCAAAATGTGATCCCTGTTTGGCCAGCTTAAGCGGAGGTTTCCCTCACTTAGGAGGGATTTCCTGTCACTTTCCATTCTGGCTATGGGACAAAAAATGAAGGGAAATCCCATGATGGGACACAGATGGCTAAAAAGCTGACAGGAATTCTAGAATGCCTCCCCTCCCCACCTTATTCAAGATGGAAAAAAGTTTGTTTTTTTTTTCGTTTAACTTTAATAACTTAAGCTCCAGAAGATATTCCCCGCCTTCGTGACCAGGCTATTTTTTGCTATTTGCCACTGCATTACCTTAACTGGCAATTGTGTCGTCATGCAATGTGGTTCCCAAATGAAATTTAAATCATTTTTTTTTCTACACAAATAGAGCTTTCTTTTGGTGGTATTTGATCACAACTTTGTTTTTTTTACCATTATATAAACGAAAAACAAAAACAATAGTTTACTTTCTGTTATAAAACATAGCCAATAAAAAAAAAAAAAAATCAAATTCCTTTATAAATTTTGGACAAAATGTATTTGGTAGAAAAAAAAATCCCAGTAAGTGTATACTAATTGGTTTGTGCGAACGTTATAGCATCTACAAATGCTGGTATATATACTGTAATTTTTCTTTTTATACTAGTAATGGTGGCTTATAGTGGGACTGTGATAGTGCAGCGTGCAATCTGCCATCACAAGTGACACTAATACAGTGATCAGTGCTAATCTTATACATTATCACATTGTTATAACATTTAGGGGCAAACACAGGATTAACTGTGTGCCTAATATTGTTTATTGCAGGGTGTGACAAATCCCAGGCACCATGTCGCCCTGGTGACTACAAATTGCATTCTGGTGCCTGGGCTTTGTCAGTTCCCCGACAGGGGACGGTTGCCAGGCAGAGGCAAGATCACACTGCTGTAGAAGGAGAGGGATGGAGTCAGAGGCATAGCACGGCGGTACTGACATCATCTTCTCACGGTGCTTCTCTCTCAGTGTGTAAGGAGGAGGAGGAAGCGGGTGAAATACTGGGGCAGTTGAGAGGGGAAGAACATCTGCCGATACCCCGCTGTACACCAGACTTAGGGGCCTCCCCAGGAGACTGTGGATGTGAAGGTAATGAGGAGTGGGGAGGAGCTCAGGACAGTAATTGAGGGGCTCAGGACAGATGAAGGGGGGAAATCAGGACAGTTAAGAGGGGGGCTCAGGAAAGTAAAGGCAAGACTGAGAACAGGAATGGTGGGATCGAGGTCAGTATTGGGGGGAGCTCAGGACAGTAAATGTGGGGCTGAGACCAGTAAAGGGTGTGGGGGTGGGGAATTTGTGAAAATTGCTGAAAGGGTAATCAGCATAATAATGAGGAGTTCCCCCTATAACAGACTTTTATTGTCATTCTTTCCTGCCAGCTTATAATCCTGATGTAATGGTGTTACATTGAGGTTATTGGCTGGCCGCTCTGCTGTACATAAATTGGGCTTAGGGGGCGCAAATTACTTGCCTTGCCCCGAGTACTGACAACCCATGCTACGCAAAAAAAAAAAACTGGCTCCTTACTTTTTTAGCTGGCTGCTAGATTCAAAGCAGATTTGTCAAGCCCTGGTTTATTGTGTTTACTGTGTGCTGCTTTTACTAAGCAATGTGCTGGTTTTTACTCCCTGCTTTGCAGGTAGAAAAAAAACTGTCATGCTGCCACTGTCTGTAGAGAGCTCTGTGTTGTTTACCAGCACAGAGCTCTCTTCTGTCATTTGCTCAGCAGGTCCAGGACATAAATCATTGGCTGGGACTGATTATTATTATACAGGACTTATATAGAGCCAACAGTTTGCACAGCGCTTTACAATATAAAAGGTAGACAGTACAGCTACAATACAATCAAAACAAAAGGATTAAGAGGGCCCTGCTCATAACAGCTTACAATCTAATCGGGTGTGGCAATTGATACAAAAGGTTATAACTGTGGGGGATGAGCTGATGGAAGTGATAAATGTCTGTTCGGAGGCATGATAGGCTTCCCTGAAGAGATGAGTTTTCAGGGATTTTCTAAAGGCAGCCAGAGTAAGGTATAGGGCGGTTGTCGGCAACCCGCGGCTCCAGAGCCGCATGCGGCTCTTTTTCATCTTTGCTGCGGCTCCGGAGCACACTGCCCACCAGGTGACAGGCAATAGGGTTTCAGTGGTCGGCAAGCCGCGGATCACAAGCCACATGCGGCTCTTCTGTGTGCCGGGCGCCCGCTCCCCTCCCTCCTCTCGGGCGGCCGCCTCAAAAGTCAGGACTCTTTTAATCCGGCCCGCGGAGCGTGGAACATTAGCTGTCAGGATGTAGGCGGGGCAGCCAGGATGTAGGCGGGGCAGCGTGACGAACTCCTCTCACAGTCCGCCCTGAAGACCGGAACACAGCGCGGGAACACAGCGAGAGGAACGCGCGGAGCAAAGGTAAGTGAATTGAGACAATATGGGGAATTAATTACTATAGGGGGGATGAATTACTATGGGGGATGAATTACTATATGGGGGATGAATTACTATGGGGGATGAATTACTATAGGGGGGATGAATTACTATAGGGGGGATGAATTACTATAGGGGGGATGAATTACTATAGGGGGGATGAATTACTATAGGGGGGATGAATTACTATATGGGGGATGAATTACTATATGGGGGATGAATTACTATAGGGGGGATGAATTACTATGGGGGATGAATTACTATGTGGGGGATGAATTACTATGTGGGGGATGAATTACTATGTGGGGGATGAATTACTATGTGGGGGATGAATTACTATGTGGGGGATGAATTACTATGTGGGGGATGAATTACTATGTGGGGGATGAATTACTATATGGGGGATGAATTACTATGTGGGGGATGAATTACTATGTGGGGGATGAATTACTATGTGGGGGATGAATTACTATGTGGGGGATGAATTACTATAGGGGGGATGAATTACTATAGGGGGGATGAATTACTATAGGGGGGATGAATTACTATAGGGGGGATGAATTACTATAGGGGGGATGAAGCTAACTGCACGATCCTGTATATAGCATTAAGGTAAGAAACAATATATGCAGTGTCGGATTTGTTTTAAATGTTGCAATGGTTTTGCGGCTCCCAGTCTTTTTTTTCCCTTCGGAAACGGGTCCAAGTGGCTCTTTATGTCTTAAAAGTTGCAGACCCCTGGTATAGGGGATTGAGGTTGAGAGTTTCAGAGGATGGGAAAGGCTCTGGCAAAGGAGCGGAGTTACAATAGTCAAGGCGAGAGATAACATCAGAGAGAACGAGTAGCTTGGTGGTTTCATTCGGTAAAAAGGGACGAATTTTAGAGATGGTATAGAGGTGAAGTCTACAGAGATTGGATTTGGGGCTGAAAGGATAGGTCAGAGTCTAGGATTACACCTAGCACCCTGGCTTGAGGAGAGGGACTGAAGGTTGTACTATTGATGTTGATGGAGAAGTCACGTAGGAGTGCACGAGGGGGAGGGAATATTACCAGCTCAGTTTTAGAGAGATTTAGTTTAACCGCTTGCCAACCGTGCTACAGCCGAAAGATGGCTACAGAGCGGTTGTCCAGTTCTGGGAGGGTGTCCATGGACAATCACAGCAGCCTTTTACCACATTTACCACATGATCAGCTGTGTCCAATGACACAGCAGATCACAAAGTAAATACAGTTGTCAGTTATTGGCAGCACTTTCCTCACGTTGTCACAGCATCAGGAAAGTACTGCTGATAACAGGCAAATGTGACAGAGGAGGTCTGCACTGATAATCAGGACACTGGTTATCAGTGCCAACCAGCAGTGCTGTCCATCAGTGCCCATCAGTGCTACCTATCAGTGCAGCCTCATCAACGCACATTAGTGAGGGAGAAAAATGACTTGTTTGCAAAATTTTTAATAGAAACAAAGAAAACCTTTTTTTTGCTCATTTTTTGTTTATAGTGCAAAAAATAAAAACCCCAGTGGTGATTAAATAACACCAAAAGAAAACTATGTGTGAAAAAAATTGATAAAAAATGTCATATGGGTACAGTGTTGCATGACCGCGCAATTGTTGAAAATTGGCCTGGGCAGGAAGCGGGTGAAAGTGCCCGGTAGGCAAGTGGTTAAGGAAGTGGTGTGACATCCATGCTGATATGTCAGTTAGTAATGTGAGAGGAGACTGAAGGAGTTAGGCGAGGAGTAGAGAGATAAATTTGGGTGTCATCGGCATAGAGATGCTATTTGAAGTTATGGGAGGTTATCAGGTGACCAAGAGAGGAGGTATAGATGGAGAAGAGAA